AGAAATCCGTTCGGTATTTATTGATTTATGACTGGGTAAGTTGAAGGTGAAGTTAGGTTTGCCTCTTGAGATCGCGCTTGAGTTCGCGCTTGAGTTCGCTGAAGTGTCGATCCGGTCTCTCTCTTCCTGTCTTCTGTTGTCGTCCAGCTGGTCATTTTTTTTTCTTGTGCGTACGTTCTTCGCTTATGGATCGAGTATACATACATTCATTCATACATGTTTCGCAGTAAAGTTAACATTTATTTTTTTTTATCTTCTCAATTGAATGAATTTCACGTCTGTATCTCGCATTATCTATGCTGAAATTGCAAGTCTCTTTGCCTGGCTGTCACCATCTATCTTCTCGACTTGGCAAAGACATTTTTTTGTTATATAATTAGCTCCTTACTGAATGTCATTGGCGTCCCATTTTACGGATGAAGATTATTTTTCTCGCATAAATTTCATTCGTTCGTTTGCTCAACTTTTATATTCTACATTAGTCACAGGTTGCGATTCACAATGACTATCAACTTTTGAACAAGATATTTTGAGGGAAAATTTTCAGGTAGTCTAATTTTTGTTTGAGATATTACAAGCTGATTGAGATATTACGAGCTGATTGAGAGGATTAGTTTTCAATGTGAATTGCCATAAGTCGTTTGGTGATGAAGCCAAATACTGAAATATGCTAAGAAAAACATTGCGCTGTAGAAAAAGTCCGCGACCATGCAGTAGGTCATGGTTGAACCATGTAGTAGGTGACCTACCGGGAGTTATACTACCTTAATAAATGTACCAACTTGTACGACTAATTGCCAGTGATTGGTTCCATTTTCAGGACTCAACGAAGTGGTTTAAATCAACAGTATTGTATCAGCATCGGAGGGGGTTATAAACCCGATTGAAGATGGAAAAATTCTGGTCGAAATCTGTTAGGTAGCCGGGTATTAAGATTCGACGACAGGCCACATAGTTATTCAAAGCTCACACCACTAGATCGTGGTGTGTCCTTTTATACAGTAGGCACCTCGTGTCGTACTCGGCGCGCCCGATCATCACAATAAACAACTTAGGAGTTGAAAAACTCGAGGCAGGGTTTCATTTGAAGGGTTTCTTCGCTAAACCAAGTGGATAAGATCAACAAGATCGCAGCTGCAAGCTGAAGGTTTGGAAACGGCGAACAGTTGTAAAAATTACAGTCGAAATCGTGGTTAAGATTCAGCGGCAGGCCAACACGGCCAAATGAGAGCTGGCACTACCATATTATCACGAACTCTGGTTAGGAGCACTGAGTTTGTCTGCGCTGCCGAGGAGTACCGTCAGAGGCATGGTTGAACTATCTACAGTTCAACCATGCGTCAGAACAGAGGGTTGAACGAAACAATTTGAACTAAGCTTCACATGGGAAGCAAATTTTTGACATTGTACGAAAATTATCACCCATTTCCACCTAAAAAATTGTTAGCCTCTTGATAATCTGAACTTATTGAACAAGCTTTCGTTGCTGAATCTTGAAAGCAGCATAATTTAATGAAACCGTGCAGATGATATTACGTACTAATGTACTATTGACGTCTTGTTTGGTTGTAAAGATTGATTTTTAGCAAGAATGCATTTATTTTATTGCTCGCCATTTACATCTTCTCCATTATCTTGGCGTTATTAATAATTTAATATGCCTTGCTTCATGTCATCATTATTTGATGACGCGTCTCATCTTAACCAAAGTCTTTTCAGTATCCGGATGCACGGAATGCTCAGTGCTTGCGTTGTTTCCGTTAATCAATACAATTTCTCAAAATTACCATTCAATTAGAAGTACATCATTTTCTATAATCGAGTATAAATGAATTAGTTATAATTAATGAGCTTGCCTGAAGATCCAAACATGTTCAAGGATTATATTTAGAATGCTAACCTTCAATCATGGTAATACAACTTTAATTACTGGCATCATAATTTTAGCTTGACTGAGCGAGTCCTTTTGACTCTAGTTTGTCCTGCTTCTACAATTAACTACCCTTGGATATTTTCTTCCTGCAACTTGCAAGGTGCATGCTAATCCGAAACCAAAAAGAAAAATCTGTACCCTTGACCATGATTTATTAAAATTCTGAACATGTTTTCTTTTATGTCATCCAATATTTTTGACAGAATGACAGTAATTGACAGTTTGACACTAATGAGCCTAGCTAGCCTAAGGCCTAAGCTAGGTAGGCTAGGACGCTAGGACGGCTAGGTAGTCTACTAGTAAAATGGTAGCCTAGCTAGGCTAACTGACTTGAGTTTGAAATAAAATTCATATTTATATTGATGTATTCAAAAGTAATTTTTTTTAATTGAAAAATTTTGTTCTGTTAACAGTTAACTTGTTAAGAACTTAAGTCCATCTGAATGATCTGAGGTTCTGAACTATATGCTAGGCTTGAGCTATCATGCTATTTGCTATCAACTGCAAGGACCCTATCACCTATCAATCTATCATTGCTATGCTGTAAACAACACAAGTTTCTGCTGTTCTCTGAACTGAATTCATGAAGAATGATTTTCAATCAAAACAATGTATTTTAAAAATATATATAATTCATTATAGACAATTTAATACAAATTTTTTTCTGTAAACTTCAAACTTTTTTTGTATACTAGCTACCTAGGTATAGTTCACTCTACCCCACTATGCAGAGGGTGGATGCAGCGTCACCAATATATGGATTTTTAAGCCCAAAGCGTCGCCGGCCATTTTAAAGATGCGTCGCCAGGTAATTTTTAATGAAAAGCCATTTACGCTGAGTAATGACGAACTATTTACAAGCCACGAACTTATTACAAGGTTGCATGCACGTGTTACCCCAAATAACTAATTTTACCCTAAAAACAGTCCGGTTGTACAGCAAGTGTCAACTGAACAAGTAATAAAGCAGTCTGACCGCTCTGAAGCTGTCTCTTATACACATCTAGATGTGTATAAGAGACAGATCATCGGTTCTCATCAAGAAGACTGTAGCTCCACACCAACCGCTCCTAAACGTCAAATAAATGCGTTCATAAGAACTAGCCTTCTTGAAATATTGACATCAGGAGGATGTTTAAACTGTTTTGTCAGACACAAAGTCATCAATGCATGGAAGGGGTTGCAGCAAGTAAGTTATTCAAGGGTAGACACAACATGGTTCAAGTAAGCAAACTGAAAATTGTGCAATAAAAGGACAGGATTAACATGAGAACCAGTGAAAACCATCCATCATTCAATAAAACAGGCATGAATAGCTGGAAAACATATGTTAAGAGCTCAGCAAAGACAAATATAAGCATGGTGACATTTTAATGAGCTGAAATGCACTGTACTCACCAAAATGGAGCATCAGGATGGGATTATCAAGCAGAGATGTAGATCAATCATGCATTAAGGCGTCTTAAACAGGCTTTTTTGAAGGTCAGAAAAGAATCAGGTGCAACCAGTGAATTTTCAATTCAGCAATCAGGGGTGCAGAATAACCAAAAGTGCATAACATATGGACTTGCAAGAATCTCGTCTCATTAACTTTTACTCTGCTTAAATATTACACCAAGGGGAACAAGATACACGATTAATAAGATGCACATGACACTCAAAAGGTAATGAAATAAAACATGAAAATACATTAAGGTACAATTTTGAATGAATGATTCTACTATATAACATAGCTAATGTTCTGCGGCCCTCTTCAACGGAATATAGGGATTTGGTAGGTTTGCATTCTAAAGGCTTTTAAATAAATATGGCAACATTTTGTGACGTTTTGTCATTGCTGACGCGTAGTGCGGTGTTTTGAGAGTCACATAAAGCAAACAGAACTTGAGTAACGCATACGGTTATTTTTTTATAGTTTTTCATTTCTCGATGCGTCCTAAATGTGACGGAATATACCGCGTTTACCCTACCAAATAAATTGGGGAAAAGGCTATAATAATAGGTCAAATTGGCTAGCTTCATAGGCAATTTTGTGTAATTCATTGCTGGCTTCTTTCTGCCCAATTTTCCACTTTGATATTAAAATAGGCCATTTTTCCTTATTTTGCACGGTAATAATTTCAGAAGGGATAAGAATGGGTAAAATTAGCCAGATTAAAGAATGATTTTTGTTGGATTCAGTGGTAGCTTCTGAGCAGTTCCAAAATAGAAATCTGAAGCAAATTTGTCTTGTGTGTAAGTTAAGCCTAGACTACTGAGTACAAATGCGGTGCTTCCAAATAACAATATTGAATATAGAATGTACTTTCCAGAAATTATGGTATATTTCTATATAAAACCCTTTATGGTATGTCAGGCAAAAGTTTCCTAAAAAATTTATTATTTCACTGGTGGACTGGTGATTTTAAAAAATCGGAGGTAAAAATGTTTTTTCTCATTTTTTACAGAAGAAATTGAGAAAAGGCTACACAGGAAACAGTGAAATTGGCAAGATTCACAGGCCTTTTTTCTGATTAATGGGTGGCTAATACCCAATTTTTTAATTTGGTGTATAATTATCATTTAAAAAATTCAAGGCAATTCACAAAAATTGTATACAAACATGTATAATTTTTTTCGATTTTTATAAAAGTAACTAGGCATGAGCAGAAACTGGAAATTTGAGAATTTGAAAAAAAATTAAACTTTTTGCATAATAACCCTGAAAAGATTATCACAGATCAGGAGGGAATTCTTTGCCATTCTTGCAGAATTGCTAATTTTCATGATTCAATGGATTTAGTTGAAGTAAGGAATTAAATATCATCTTAATTTAATAAAAAAAATTCCCTATTCATTGCTTTGATCATAAAGCCTTGGAATACCATTAATTTTTTAACAGTTCTATATCCATTGTAGCAGCTCCCACACAGGATTAGAATTTTTCTACTTGTTACTGGAATCTTGTGGCTCCTATAAATATAAATTTTCAATAAATTTTGAATTTTCAATAAATTTTGAATTTTCAATAAATTTTGAATTTATTATTGAGCTTTGTTGTTAACTATTAGATAGGAGGTAATTCATGTAGAGTGAATCTCATGCATGCAAAAATTGCAGGAAAGCTCTATTGCAGCTCTAAAGATAGATGTTTTTCACACTAGCTTGTACAGACAACATGCATGCTGTAGTTGCTACCTTCACCCACTAATATGGATGTGCAAGCAGCTGCTTTATAACTTTGTGCAGCGTTAAGCTTGTGAAGTATAATGTACGAGTACACTCTGCATGCTTCAAACATTTTAAAGTTGAGTTTTATTTAAAGTGTCCCAAATTATCCCATTCCCAGGGGTAATTTGGGATGCTTTTCTTTTGCATCTGGCACCTTACAAATATATGGAATTTTTTTTAGATATGCCTTACAATAGGCCTTGCAAAGACCTTTAAAATGAGCCTAAACTTGTTTGTGAAATGTTTCATGGTTAAAAGTTATAAACGAAAAATGCTCAAAATCGTCCTTTATTACCCTGTTTGATGGCATTGGATGTATGATTGCCAGCGTATATCTTAGCTAGATATATATTCTTCATATGTCCCCTCTTTTCTTAGAAAATAAAAACTATAACACCGCTGAACAGTAAAATTGAGCAGAAGCCAGCCGTAAATGAGACATAAACAATGTACTCTAGGACAATTCCATTCATTCCTATGGCCCTTGTCTTAAGTGGAAGAAACATTTCATGTAAACTTATATCCCTGCACAAACACTGTTGCTTGTTATTTCATTGAAAAAATTACCACTAATTCTACAGAATACCATACATAAAATAGTTGAATTACCACTGAACTCAGCCTAACAATTATAGTATGAGAAGCAAAAAGTTATTATTAAAATTGCATCAGCTGAAAGCCAGACACACAAAACAAGAGTAGTTATGGAGCTATGTTCATGCTTCTAAAAAACATGTGAATGCAAGCAGTTGTGTGCCTAACAGATTGCAGTGCTCTGGCTCAAAATATAAAAGATAACTTGGCAACTCCACACTTATGATTTTAACACCATGCCATGCTCCTAGTATTGCTCAAGAAACAAATGTGCTGTCTTGATGCCCCAAAAACCTCTGCGATGTGAACCAGTTAGTCCAGTCTGAACCTCTGCGATGCAATAAGTTGTACCGTATCAGTTAGTCCTATTATGTCCATAATAATAAATAATCTTCAATTTTTTAATCAATCTTGTTTTACTCTTGCTAGATGCCATCAAAAATAAAAAAATCATTTCATAACGGTAAATTTATGTGTGTATGATGTTTGTCTCTGATATTGTTAGTTAAAAATGCAGAGACTAGTTCATACTAAAATGCATCACATAGTATTCACATGTATATACTAACAGTACTCTTAAGCCCTCCACTTCCTTTGTAGATGATGTAGATGTAGAATAAAGGGCATTTTCTGTGATGTGTATATATACTTATTTTTCGTTTATTGATACAATATTACCATATCCATACATTACTGTATTATTGATGTGATGTTACTGTATCCATGGACTTGCCATTGAGAATTGACAATGACTGTGTGTACTGCAAGCTTCATGTCAGCAGCCATTTAGCATTTCTTCTCTATCTGTAAGCTTATGGGACTGGGTTTGTAATTGCACATCATTTCATTTGGTTCAAGTGAATTCACTATAGCAAAAAATATTGTAAAAACATACCTGAAACAGAAAGGAATATTTTAGTGACTACCATCATATTTTGGAGAAATTAATCATAGTTTAGGTTAATTTCTTTTCATTCTGTGTTGCAAAGTGGCAGTGCACAATTCTATCTCTGACATTCTATGAACAATTTTGTGATGACTGATGATGCATTAATTTTTTGCTGAGTGAATTTTTATGCTGAGCAAGGTAAATGTAATCAAAATTCTTTATTGTTAGATGATTTTTTCATTAACTGGAGTGATTGCTAACCAAGGTTCTACTGTAAATGCATTTTAGGGGTGTCCTGTATTACCCCAGGGCCTGGGGGGTGTCTCTTACTACCTACTATGCCATACGGAAATAGCTGCCATTTTGTTTCGGATTGAGGTACAAAAATTCTGTTGATGAAGCATTAAAGCCAACACCTGTCTACAACTTTTTATAAGCAAAATTCTTCAATGCAGCAAATATTTTTTTTCACTACGGACCTTAGCAGAAGTACTCTTTCAAAATATCACTTTTTAACAATTATTTTTGAAATTTTTTGAAGCTAGTAAATACATGATTTCTTAACTTCCTTTTTGTTACAAAAATTGGAAAAATGATGAAGTTTAGCTGCAATATAACATTTTTTCACCATGGCGGAGGACTGTCCCGATCTACCCCACCAATCCCTTATTACTCTGTTTGATGGTATATATTGCACAAGCTGGCTTCATTTTACCACATGGTACATAACAATTTTAGTTTCATTAGCTAGAATAACTGGCATCAAGAATCCTATTATTATAAATCCAGAATCCCATAATTGTAAATTTCATTTCTTATCTCAGACTATAGTCACATTTTTTCAAATGTTTAGGCTGACCAGTTAGACATGTTTCTAAAATAAATTAAAGCCTCATTAGGGTTGAAATTAAAATGACTGATATAAGTAAGGTATATAAGTTATTTTTTACAAATGTGCAAGATTAACCTGCGAGTTGCAGCAATTTTCCTCTTGGAAGCATTAAGGAACTCATAAATGCCTTGCCAAAAATTCCTATTTTAATTATCGTTATTGGTGAACTAATATTGTTCACTTTACAATGTGCCATCTTTTCTCTGGTCACCATACCTGGTATATTTCTGTCATCCTGTATATGGCATTGGTAAAACATTATAAATATTTCTTATGTTGAATTCATTAAGTTTCCACTCTTCAGCATGCAAGATCAATGATATTGTGGCCTAAAAGTGAACCCTGTGCTTAGCTTCTTAGTTGGGCTTTATCAATACCGTCAAATGGGGTAAAAAGGGATGGGCGGGGTAATAAGGGACAGTCCTCCAGCATTTTGTAGCAATGTTGTAGCAGCTAAACTAATTAAAATATTGCAAAACCAAAAATAGTGGTGCAAAGTTCAACCGTTTTACTATCTATGCAGCATAAAGCAAGTTGAGAAATCATACATTTATTACCTCTAAAAAATCCCTGAAAAAAAGTGTGGGGTAACATTGACCGGTTTGGAAATTAAGTTAAAATTACCATATATAAGACTCTGTAGAGTCTGAAACATGAAGAAAAAAAACATTAATAGATAAAAAAAATAGATAAAAAAACATGTATCAAACATAAAATATGTTATATAGGTACCTATGGTAATTTTAACTTGATTTCCAAGCCGGTCAATGTTACCCCGTCACAGCTGCCATTAGGTGGTCAAAGTTCCCCCATTGGGGGGCGGCGCCCCCCATTTGTAAACTATGACACTTTCCTAAAATTTGTCTTTTGCATATGTAACTAGAAGAGTTCTACTACAATGCATCAAAACCTGGAGTTATTTTACAAAAAAATAAAGAAATTGGAGGGGGGTACTCCGACAGGCTTTAAATAATAGCTCTTTTTCATGGGTCACATTATTAATTTTTTAACCTATTAGATATGCAAACTTTTCAACTCTTTCTATTGTGTTACGTAGTCTCAGTATTAGGCTTTTGATGGCCATTGACAAAATTTTTCTATGTCAAATAGTTTTTGAGTTGTGGGGGTTTTTGTTAAAAAAACGAAAAGTGGTCAAAGTTACCTCGCCGGTCAAAGTAACCCCATTTTACGGTACCTATGTCTTTTACAAATTTTTTTGTTAGAGTAAAATCACTTGACTCAATTAAAATTGTGCAAAATTACAAACCATCCTGTAAGCTTACAGATACAGAAGAAATGCTACATGGCTGCTGATATGAAGCTTGCAGTGGACAAAGTTGTTGTCAATGCTCAATGGCATGTCCATGGATACAGTAATATCACATACGGTAATGTATGGATAAGGTAATATTATATCAATGAAGAAAAACCAAGTAAAAATCACAGAAATTTTCATTTATTCTACATTTACATCATCTACAAAGGAAGAGGAGGACTTCAGAGTACTGTTAGTAATAGATTAGTGCACTCTGCATGCTTCAAATGTTTAAAATTGGGTTTTATTTCAAGTGTCCCATTTTACCCCATTTCCAGATTAATTCAGGAGCCTTTTATATTGTGTCTAGCACCTTACAAATAGCATATGGAATTTTTTTTGGAGATGCCATACGATAGCCCTTGCAAAGACTTTTAAAATGAGCCCAAACTTGTTTATGAATTATTTCGTGGCAAGAAGTTATTAACAAAAAACGCTCAAAACTGTCCTTTCTTACCCCATTTGACAGTATTGTCTTTCCTTAGAGAAGATTGATTTAAGTTCTTGTGTGATGGGTCCATGATTATTGAAGTCCAAGGGAGTCTATGGAACAAAACCCTTCATTTTGTATTTATGATTATAGTGGGGAAATGAGTGCACAACCCCATGTTGGTATGTCTTCTCTGGCTTATACAAGCAAATATGACAAAAATTGAGATATATTTACTCCTGAGCATGTTTCACAATTTTTGAATACTAAATGAGTAAATTACTGTTTAGGAATTTACAAAATTTGGTCATTATACTTGAAATATTTGGTATTGGATAAAATTTTTTTATATAATTTTCAGTGGAATTTTTTTGACTTCAACACATTCTAATGTTATCAACTTACTGATATCACTTGATCAGAGATTGCTTTGTTGATGGAAAAATGAGAAGAAAAATAAAAATTTTGTGACAAATATCTTTAAAATATCTTTAAATTTGATGTTCAGAATTCAATACATTTGATGCAGACATTGGCAAGGAAAAATTGCCAGTCAATGATGCCAACAACAGATGAATGTTGTCAATATTTATTTTATAGACCATGATAAAGAAGAAAATGTTGATACCGTATCAAAGCCATCAAAACCAAATTTTAAGGATTTTTTTTTACAGAAGAAAGACCTTGTATAAATAAGTACTTAATTGCCAATTGCAGCATATAATACCCTATCAGATATTGCAACCATTTAATGAAATTTTCATAACTGAATATATATTATATATAGATTATTGTCATTCATCCAAGTACTTCTCTCACTAAAAGTTTAAATGTACTTCCTTTGATGGTTAAATTTATAAAACTTGAAAGAAAAGTATTTGTACCTACGTATTTCCGTTTGTTCCCAGTCACTGTGTTCAGTCATAATTAGAGCATTCTGTTTTTCTATTGATATTTATGCATTTCAGATGGCTGAAACAAATGCCGGTGATGAAAGTGAAACGGCCTTGGGAGGCTGCTCGGGGCTCCCCAAACAGGATGAAGAATACTGTTCTCTGAGCACACATCCAGAGTTGCTGGATAGTGAAGTGAACAACACTGACAAGAGCATAGAAGAAGAAGATCTTCATTGTCCAAAATGTGACTTCAAAACAAGAATTTCTGACCACCTGAAACTTCATATTTTATCTCACTTGATGGTTGCTAAAAATCTTGCATGCCTTATGATGAATCTGCAATCAAATCTTATGAGAAGTGAGGAGGATTCAATCGCGTCTAAAGCCATGAATCACATCAAAACAGATGATGCTGATAATCATGGTTCCAGCACTCCCTATTCTTGTTTATCTATTCCATCATCCTCTATTATTTCTTCACAGCCATGTGAACCAGATTTTAAATCACCTCAATTGATATCAAAATTGCCACAAATGCCATCAGAATTGCCTCAAATGTCATCACAATTGCCTCCAATGCCCTCACAATCACTTCAAATGCCATCACAATTGCCTCAAATGCCATCACAATCACCTCAAATGCCATCACAATCACCTCAAATGCTGTTGCAATCATCTTCAACCTTTTCTGAATCTAACGGTGAGCCATCACCATCTTCCGCGCCCATTTTTACGTGTCCACAATGCTTGCATTCATGCACAAATGTAATAGAATTTAAATTGCACACTCTATTGCATTGCGCCATGAATAATCAGGCAACCACTGCAAGACAAAATTCCTCTGCTGATCAACATAACAAAGAACAAGAAATGACATGGCCAAATATTTCAAATCACAATCTGTGTTGTCCTATATGTCGTTGCTATTCGTTGGACGAGAACAGTTTCAATGTCCACTTGAAGACCCATATTCATCACGGCCGGTTCTGGTGTGATAAATGCTTATTCTCCTCGTCCAGAATTGAAGAAATGAAAATTCATCTTTCTTCTCATTGCACACGAAGTCACAAACGCATTTCATGCCCTCATTGCGACTTTACAACAGCAAACAAAAGTTATTTTAAGGTACATCTATCTACTCATACAGGAGAAGGAAAAATGTACTGCAATTATTGCAACTATAGCACCGTATACAAGAGCAACTTCAAGCAACATGTGGCCGCTCATGAAAAGAAAAGTGAGCTGCAATGTCCTATGTGCGATTTTAAATGTGTTGGAAAATCTGAGTATGGGCTGCATTTTGCCAGTCATACTGGTGAGAAGAGACTGTCGTGTCCATTCTGTAAGTTCAACACCTCAAATAAGACTTATTTCAAGCAGCATGTTGGTTCTCACACTGGTGCTGGTAAAATGCACTGTCCCTTTTGCAAGTTCTCTACAGTTAATAAAAGTTACTACCGAATCCATCTATCAAAGCATACTGGAGAAGGAACTCTGCGTTGTTCTTTATGCTCCTTCACTACTGTCTACAAAAATAATTTTCGGCGGCATTTAGCCAAGCACCAGACGGAAGCTGAGGAATCTTCAATTTCAATGAACATTTTGCCACCTAGACGAGGAAGACCCAGTAAAAGCTGGAAGGAAATGCAAGCTCTTATGAATGGCAGTAGCTTAATTGGACTTGGATGCATTAAAGATCCTATGAACCTATTCCGTCCTCAAAGTAATGCCACTGTCGGCGGCCCCAGCACTGAACCTGTCAAGTTGGAGCTCATGGAAAATAATGTTATTTTTAATGGCACAACTGACCCCAATGCCTTAAGTCACTTTTTCTTCAATGCATGCAACGCACCTGATGCAAGTGTTAACCAGGCCGTTGGTGGTTGTGGTGCTGAGAACTCTCTGCAATCTTCATGTTATGACGTCTCATTCAAGCAAGAAACACTGAATGATCTGCCTGTGGACGAATAACTACAAAACAATATGCATGTTCACGTCTACCTCATCATCATAAAATAATTGTATTTTCCTCTGTAGGCTGCAGCTATTTGTCCTATCCTTACCGATCTTGTATTCTGTTTAACAATTGTCATTATTTTTTATGTAACCTGCTTGAGGGGCTTCTGAATACTTTTGTGTTGCAGTGGTTTTGAATGGTATTGTATTATCAAGATCGTCACTTCCTTGTCCATACATCATGCAAGCAGCCCACACCGTGCACGCATATCTACAGCATTATATAATATCTTGTTTTTTTTTTCAAAGTTTAGGCAATTTGATAGCAAATCGCTGATGAACGTTTGAGTCAAATAATAAATAATGTCTACTAGATTTTTTTTGAACGAGTACTTTTCACGCATCTAATATAATGCAAGCTGTTAAGGGTCATTAGAAAAAAAAGGTTTTTAATAAGTTTTATTATCAAGTATTTTGTCAAGTTATGTTATGTACTTGAGCTTGACATTTCGAGGTGATGCTCAAAAAAACGTGGATATGATTTCACGGAATTTGAAATATTTTTTGACGTGTTTTATGTATGAGTCACTTTGAAGCTCATGTAAAAAAAACTTAACCTAAGTTACTATAGTTTGCGACAGGCCGTTCAATTTACTTTTTAAAGTGATTTTGAGATTGCAAGTTATTGAAGCTTTAAAAATTAATTTTATTTTCTAAATTCAATATTAACTAGGTATTTATTATTTACTTACACATCCTTTACCCTCGTCTATTAGCCTTTTTTCTCGTTTGTTTGACTGTGTTGCAAATTTTTTATTCCGCTTCCTCATTTCTCGCGGCCCAATAGTATTTCATAAGTGAATGTCTTATGACTTGCTCGGACCTTCTTTTTGTTGAATTTTGTCGCAACTGGGAATGTTATGGAACATTTCTCGTGTGCAGGCTACATTAATTTTACTTCCTTGCCACATTTTTATGACATTTTTTCAATTTCACGTCGACAATCTTTGTGGTAGCTATCTTTTTCTTGTGTTTGTTGCTTTAGAGCTCGTGAAACCTCTGTTGCAATCGCCGTTTGAACAACACAGCAAGATTTGGATGAATCACATCTATAAACTTCGAGAATAACTTCCTGATGCAATTTTAATCCTCCCGCTGGTGCGATTCACCTAATGCGAACCTAATTCACAAGGTTATGTGCAAGACTATTACATTTACAATAATAAATGTAATTTCAGCGAATGCAATAGTTTTATGCTAGTTTAGGGTTGACGTATACGAGTAAGGATCAGCGTATTAACTGTAAAATAGTGCAAATAGTCATTAAGTGGATGTTGCTAGCTAGGATCGCAGGCACTCACAAATGTCCAGCTAACAACGGCGACTGCGTCACTGAATTCTTCTGGTTTAGCTTCATTGTTGATACTCGTCCCCGTTGAACTGACCTTGTGTTAACTTTTGTGATAAATTTCGACTCTTTAACTTAACATAACTTAATCTTGTACCAGATTCCTTGTCTTCTGTATGCCCGCTATGTTGTTTTATGTTATTTGAGTTTCAAGAATTATAATTTATGATGGGATATCATTTACGTGTATTTGTTCGATAGAAATAGTTGAATTGTTTATTTGTCGTCATCATAAGAAGCTATTACGCACTTTTTTGTCCAAATTTATTTGCTTGAATTGGTCATGTATTTTATGACAAATCTATAAACTCTGATAAATAACTTTTAAATGGAAATAATTTGCCAAAAGGATGCAGATTGCTCGTGATTCTCCGAGCGTATATCGTCCAACGGTGTTCATTGTGAAACACTGACTATTCATAGCAATTTATTGAGTAAATTTCTGTTCTGAATGATATGCACCTGAATGTTATTTTTATTAATTCATTAGAAATCGCCGCATTTGACTATATATACAGATGAACATTCTGGTCCCACAAAAAATTTTCAATGAGAGTGTTGGTTCCTTGCTGGTGACGAACGTTGGTTTCTTACGCTTACTCATTGCCACATTTGTTGTCATTTCATCATTACCGAGACGAATTTTACTTGCTTACGCTTACTCATTGGCACATATGTTATTATTTCATCATTATCGAGTTCTTACGAGCGCTACTTTCCCTCTCACATTGAAGTGTCGGCGCCACGCGACGGAAGCCGACTTAGCAACGCACCAGTTCGGCTGCCGCCAGAACCGTATACGCAATACATGCAATGTGCTAATCTCAACGAAGATTTTTTTCGTCAGATGAAATAGAATTATATATTAATTGTCATGACGTTATTTGTTAATAAATTAAGAGGTAACTTTTCGAAATTGATAGTGTTAGTTTTCATCACGTACATAGCAGTTCTGTCTTATATTTATTGAATTGTGTTAAATGTACTAACAATTTGATAAGCTTTAACCAGTAGCGTTAGTTTGAACGGTTCCAATTAAGATATGCTTGTTTCTGTATCAGAAGCGGCGATGCTAGATTTCATGCTTTTATTCAGGTATAAATCAGATGTCATATTTTTGTTATGTTCGGGATAAATTACCTCAGAGATAAACTATTTACTTCAGTTCATCATTACAGCTCATCTACAGAATTCTCTCGCTTCTTTCTTCAGTCCCCTCATTAAATTATTAAGATCTATTTATCTTCCCTCGGCGCGATTGTTGTCTACTGTAGTCTTCTGAGTAGTACCTTCACTCCTACTAATACCATTACAGGTAAATACTCTTAGTCTAAAATGAATACTCATTTGGAAACGCAATCCAAATACGTCGGTGCTTGTTCGTCTCAAATAGTCTTGCCATAGTTCTTAACTTCGACTTAGATATCATGTTGCTCATAAGATATGTGTAAGAGTTTGGATCTGTTAACAAATAACATTAAATTATTAACGTATTTGGAACAATAATAAAGTTGACCAAAATTTAATTGAGAACTTTTTGGATCCTTAATTCTTGACTGCTGAAGTGCTGACGGTTTCTTCAAGCATACCGGTTTTTGTTTTCAAAGTATTTTTCTGTAGTATGTAATATATGAAGAAAACAACTGAAAACGAAAACATTATTTCTTGTACGAATTGTTGTGCTTTGTAGGTGCGTAAACGGCTACCCAACTCCTGACATCCAACCTAATTAATCCCTTATTGGCTACTTATATAACTTACCTCCCCCAACTGCAAGTTTCCTCTCAAGGGGAGAAATTTTCCTTTCGAACAATTGACTTTCCCCGTGATTAAATAACCAAGCGGAGGGAACAACTTTCTGTTTGACGTAATAGGTGCGCGCGGTGTTATTGCAAGCCGTGGAAATCAAGCTGCAGGTCATTACCAGCGCTATGACGTTGAAACGTCTCGAGCATTTCATGCTGAGTTGTTCTCGAGAGTGTGGATACTTCCCTCTGCTGGAACGTGTTCCGTATTGCTGTGCAGTTATGGCGCGGACGTAAATTGCGCGTCGCTGTTCCTCTCAGCTCAGTGCGCAGCGCGAGTGGATGAGAGGAGGGTGTGTCGCGTCAGCGGCATTTGCGTTGACTGACTTGGTTGCATGTGGAGAAATGAGTGAGACGTTGTCCAAATAGCAACGCACTTTTTGCCATTGTTTGGGTTATCTTGAGCCAGCTTGGCCCGTTAAAACGGCCAAACAGGGCTTCGTCTGTGCTGTGGCTGAACAAGCGTGTTAATATTTGGACAATACGACTCGTTCTTTTCTCTGAGTGTGGTTTGGTGTTAAAAAAAGTATACTGATCTATTGGACCCCTGGAAATCTTTATCTAATAATCAGCTTCAAAATGATCATAATTGCTTTGCAAATATCTTCAAAAAATACGGAGAAAAATTACTTAATCTCTCTGAGATTCATGGTAATGATGGATAAATAACTATTTATCAATAGGTCTTCCATCAGCCGTCATATAACCCGCCATTCAAGACAGCACGTGGCGCTTGTTTGCATTCAGTTAGAACTTTACTATTTACGCCAGCGAAAGCAGTTGCATTTTCATGGTCTGGTCTAACATAAAGCTTTTGTCCGATAACACAGTATGTCTAAATTCATGCTCACCTTCATGTTCGATAACACAGTATGTTAAATTCATGCTCACGTTCATATTCAATAACACAGTATGTTTAAGTTCATACTCACGGTCATGTTCGATAACACAGTATGTTTAAATTCATGCTCACGTTCATATTCAATAACACAGTATGTTTAAATTCATGCTCACGTTCATATTCAATAACACAGTATGTTTAAGTTCATACTCGCGTTCATGTTCGATAACACAGTATGTTTAAGTTCATACTCACGGTCATGTTCGCTGACCCAGTAAGTATGTTTACGTTCATACTCACGGTCATGTTCGATAACACAGTATGTTCAAGTTCATACTCGCGGTCATGTTCGATAATACAGTATGTTTAAGTTCATGCTCACGTTCATGTTCGATAACACAGTATGTTTAAGTTCATTATAGTCATCATATAGTCTGAAAACGTTCTTTATGCCCCAGTATCATACGAAAAGAAATTGCATTTATCCATTAACATGTTAGTACGGCACGACCCTCCAGCGCTGCCAGATGGCCTAAAAACGGCCAAGTCTGTTGATAAAAAGGCCTATAAATTAAAATATACTAGTATATTTGTGGGTTCCGGTGCAAAAAAATTTTATATTTTCCGTACTTTTAAAAATTTAATGAGGTAGTTCTGCCATCATATATTGTGGTCCACAAACGCAATAGAAAAAAACTAAACCACAGAATTTGTCCGGAAAAAAATACCCGCAACCCTGTGTTAAAGAGAAAGCGGTGCCAAAGATAGCTTTCGTCAAAGCGGCGACTAGGCCAGCTTTTGCGGCAGAAGCTGGCCTGAAGATCCACCTGAGATCAATTAACTCAGCCGGTTTGGTAACTTCCATTCTTGCGATGTTGCTTAGTATTTATGGCTTAGATAGCGACATTTTTCTTGTTTGCATTCGACTGGGATGCTATCTTCTTAGTATTTGTTTCCCTAGTGCAAGTATTTGATTTATTAAGTTTTTCGTTTTGCAAAAAGCAGCTAGCAATAATTTATTCGCAAAGACGAATCAGTAGAATACTCGAAACTAAGGACTAGAAGTCTAATTTGTTTAATATAATATAGTTAATTATAATATAATAATAAGTGAAATACAGCCTGCTTCACTGTACAGTGTACAGTAGTCTAACTTTGCTATACATCGGTCGCAGGTTTGCACAAATATTCGAAAAAATATTCAAATATCAATATTTGATATTTATTTACGAAACTCTGTTAGAAGTCTTTCATGATTATGACTTTGAGAAGACAATAATAGCACAGATGATCATTCCTTGTAAGGTTACGAATGTGAATTTCATTTAAACAAAATTTCCGAACATAATTTTTTTCAAAATGTTTTTTTTTGCGTAGTTATTTTTAGGTATAATACGAGCCTCCAACTTTATGCTCTGTGTAAATCTGCTCTGCACCGCAAGTTCATGTTTGCCTCAATCGCTGCGCGTGCTGTTGAACTGAATTTCTATTCGTTGAACTGAATTTCTATTCGTCGAACTGAATTTCTATTCGTTGAACTGAATTTCTATTCGTTGAGCTGAATTTCTATTCGTTGAGCTGAATTTCTATTCGTTGAACTGAATTTCTATTCGTTAAGCTGAATTTCTATGCGGTGAACTAAAAAATCTGCCCGTAGAGCTCCCGTCGGGGTAAGGGCCCCAGTTCGGAAATAACTTAGTCATGTAGAAGTGACGTGCAGTTTCACTCGTGACTAATGTGATGTCTCAGCAAGATGCGGTCACGACACTCCGCTGCACCAGCTGTTTTTCTGCACACAACTTTCCAAGCTTTTAAAGGCTTTGTTTTGTATCTAAATTCGACCAACACTTGGCTACGATCTACTTATTATTTGTTATAATACTTACCTCAAGTTTTTCTCTTACAGCTCGCATCGTCGTGTACGTCATTATTATTAGGAGCCCACCATACTGGGCATTAAATGGTGTAGGTTCGCGTGCTCTTGGTCTACTGAAAATTATAAATACTCTTTCACTGCAATTCACATCTCGTAATTAATATCATCTATCGCTGCCTCCAAAATTGAAGAACATTTTTAACATGTCGATCGGCGAATGCATCGAGTCAACCCTTTTTACACGAGGCTCAATACTACTTTCACTTTCAAGTGCTTTCAAGTTCTCCTCGAGTCACATTTTTTAATTAAAACACTGCGCGTCATCTTCTGATTGTCTCACTTCTCGTTTTTCTCGAGGCAACTCATTTAACTTGTAAGGCAGTTCAGCGAAAGCTCTTAGTATAGAGAGCCATTTGTTAAATTCATCAATAAGCACGTCATTCTGGACGCGTGCTTTTGTTTTCTAGAATATTTTACTTTGTTTTTCTATAAGATAAAATTGCGTTGAATTTTTCGAAAATGTCTAAGGAACCGAAGTTCTCGATTACTTGAATATATTAAGAGTATTAGGGGAGTATAAACACTAGTGTGCTTCCCTAATATATTAAGAGTATACACTAGTTAAAACGATGCGCCTGAACTATTTTATAGTGGATTATTTACCTAGGCACAACCTTCATGTCTTATTCTACTGTCAGTTGATGGCTCGCATCGCAAAGCAAATACAAAGCTAGAACCAATGAAAGTTAAGCATATTTAAATAGAGCTGCTCTGAAGATGCAACTGCATCATTAGTTCTGTCGAATGAAGATAAGCTTGTTGAGACAGCAAAAATGACAAGTAAAGTCTACAGAAACGAAAACGAAAAAATAAATCAGAATATTTTTATTTGGATATCAAAGATTATTCCAGCTAAAGTCTTCATTAATACTCAATCTATTTTTAAATATTCAGCAAGGTGTGCCGCTGTCGGAAGTAAAATTCGGGGTCTCACCTATCGATTTTGTCCCGCATCTTTTGCATTTTGAAATTGAAATTTTTTCCGACTTATGCTGGTTAACTTGGGATCATACAAGAAGTTGAGGGGAAGTCCGTCTCGTCCTCGATCATGCAATCCGGCCCGTGACTTCTGATCGCTTAGAGAACTCGTGTAAATCAGTTTACTTTCATTGCGTATTAGTTGATCGATATCGTAATTTCCTGCTCTGACAACCATAAGTAATTGTCCGCTAACAGCATTGCGCACCGAAATGAAAGTTTCTGTGTCTATATGCATGGATAATAAATGAATGGTAGTTTTTACAGCGTGAAACATTGTCGGAATGACGTTGCGTATTATTACGGAACGAAAGCGAAAGTTTGCGAGAGGAACTAGATCTGCTCGGTCGGCACTCTTCTGGAACGGTTGCTTGCAGCGAGCGCAGGTCGTGATGCTGAAATTCAATCACGACACTTCTTTCTACAAACGTCCGCTCGAATTTTTCTCTCGGCAAAGAATTTGCTCAGTCTTGGACTTTATGCACCAAGACTGCTTCAGATTTTGAGCATCCCGCCTCACGAATCGGTCTTGCATTGCCATGCAATTTACACGCTGCCCGGAAGTCATCCGTGCATTTGTCGTGTTGCTCGGTGGCCCAAACGTGAGAATTTCAGTAGAAATATACACCTATTATGAATGAGAATATAAAAGTTCCATTACACATGGAAATGTGAATCACGTAGATGGTGACAAATTTTATACGTTAATGCGAAAATAATTAGTTAACCTCTTTAAATGACCAGGAATTTTCTGTCCCACAAGTGGTAAGATTATTAGAGTGTTCTGATAAGAAATTTTATTTCCTGCGTCGTTTTCGTTGTCATTGATGCCCTCGAAAACTTGTTGATGTTCTATTATTTATATCAGGAATGAATTAAGATGTCATGACTTGAATGGAATCATGTTATTGAAATCTCAATGGTAACGTTCTGTTAACATACTTGCTATTTGTTAGCTGGTACTTTGCATTAAAATTCTATAACATTTTTACATTAGAGAAAAATTAATGGGATTTGTTAATGGGATAATTAACACAAATGTATTCAAAATTTTTCAGGTACATAATCTCCAGAGTTGTTTTAAGAGTAATTTAATTAGCGTGAGATTATTCAACAATAACGAAGGATCTATCCTAAGATCAAAAGAAGATCCCCCGCACAACATCTTGCAATGCATGCCTCGACAGAGCGAGGCATCACGGGCTCTGCCGTCCTGTGGGCGATATTTTTGCTTGCGGCCGCGGCTGCACATTCGCCTCCCCCATCCATCGTTAATCTTCCTGCATCTTCCAGCGAATCTCTCATATTTTTTCCTCACGAAATTCCCTCGCTCTCTCTACTTGGAGAATCCTCAGGAGTATTTCTAGAATCAGCTCCCTACAAATCCGAAAGACAGATGGCGATACGAGACTCAATCCGTGAAGATCATGACTCGGCGATTGCCGAACTGCGAACTCATGCCTTGGTACGTGATACATGCGACTCTTTTTAGTTAATTAGTTGTTGAATTTAAACTTCATGATCATCTTTTTAGTTGCTTTTATTAAAAATTTGTATCTAGTTGTATTGTTGTTCCCAAAAATTTTAAACGAAGTAAAATGTTTGTCAAACGCCGTTTTGTAGAGGAATTGCATTAGTCTTCTTGATCCCACTTTATTTTACTATTTTTAATTCATATGAGTAGCTATTAAATTCAGAGAAGGAAGAAAAGTACTGTTGAAATGCAATAATTAATAAATGTTATTGCTTCTCTCTCAGGACGACAGAGAGCAGCTCGTCTGCGCTGATGGCTTTTCTGGCGACGTGACATATCACATCGAAAGAAAATCTCGATCACAGCCATCAACTTCCGCCAATTTTATTTACACGGTAGACAAGGAGGATGGTCACTCCTTGAGATTTCGGCGCTCCGTTGTAAGAGATAAAATTGATGATGAAAACATAAAATCAGTTAGTGGTGTTCTCACGCCCTCCAATAGTTCCGATTCTCAGATAAACACACAATCAACATCAAGCAGCTCCAGAGTGTCGAGCTTCAGTTTACCGCCTACGAAGCAAACGGTGCGCATTCAGGGGATGAATGACCAAGTGAAATCTGCTAGCGCCCAAGGCAAATCTGACACTCTGGAGGCGTCTGGACGTCACCGGTACAGCCCTATAGAACTACGGCATGACGACGACGATGATAGGCCTGACTATGTCTTCAGGGATCCTGGTCGTCATGCCAACAGGAATCATCACAATCAGAACCCAGAAGGATCGGTTGACATTGGGCACTCACATGCCTCTGGTCATCATAGGTTTACTATTCACGATTCCTTTGACGAATCAAAAGACGATTTCAGCTCGTCTCATCCTCAGACATCCAAGGGCACGCTTGATCATCTCCGGTCTCCATATACCCAGTCCAAATTTGGGGAAGTAGTTGAGCATCGACCTCCGCCCCCGAATCGTGATCATCATGAACATGAAAATCAGCGAATAAACTCGCAACTCGAATTTGATCCCTTTGCTGAGCCTCGTCCGTCTGACATTATCGTGCACCCTCACTCATCTGACGACTACAGGGATGTTGATCAAGGATACAAATCGCCTCATCGCAAAGAACGTGGCCAATTGTCACATAGCTCACAGTTAGACAGTTCGCGATTCGTAACTGATCGACACCCTTCTAGTGACCAAGACCAACACAAATTTGTCGGCGAAGAAAATAGTCATCACTATGATGGATCCGTCATATATCGGCCGCGTAAACCAGACCAAGAGGAGCGTAAAAAAGTTTCTCCTCATCAAGAGTCTCAGATTGACGGTCAGCGCGGTCAGCATTTCGGCGACTATCAACACGACAGTCCTGACTATCAACGCGATGAATATGACCAAATCAATGACCACCGCTCTGGTCAAGGTGACGAAAGTCATCATGATTTTTCAGATGGCGGTCGTCAACATGGGAACCAGCACTATTTTAGTCATCAACTGAATAGAGCTAAAGATCAGAATAGCTTTGATTATAGAGATGAACAGCAAAGGTCTCCTCATAACAGCAATAGCGACCCATACTCTAAGAAGCCTTCTCACTCTCCTCCCATCATCCATAGTTACTCTCACAACACAGCACCTGATAGTGCAGATCATATCTTAGAACTATCTGGCAAGAATACGATTCCTATCATTTACGACCAGTCTCCGTTCCAACCCATTTCTGGGCACACGTCAGCACCGGGCCATGGAGCGACGTACTCGTTCAGTAGTGGGCACACGAGAGGCGCAGCTCACCAGGATCAGCTCAACGAAGGAGGAGATTTCTTCCATGTTGAAGAGAATATAGAGGACCTTCCCGAGTTTGTTGATACGGAGTCTCATGAAAATTCTCTCACAAAGTTCCGGAACGATATTGACAACCCAATTAACGCAATCGGATTCTCCAACCATAATTCTTTGAGAAACCTTCGATCTACAAAACCAAATTCAAACTCCATTCGTACACGCGGTATAGAGCCAGCGTCTAACTATATCAACGACAATTCAGCTAAACCACATGAAGGATCATCATTCTCAGAAGGCTCGAATGATTTCTCTGGACTTTCCCTTTACGAGAGCCCTCGCTTCCAGCCTACGCATAATCCTGGATTAGCTTTTAACTTTCCAGGACCTCATTCGCAGCTCCCCATCAGGTCATCACCCGGTGCTGCATTTCGATCCAATCCTCCATTCAACGACGCTGCCTTCCGACCAAACAACGGTCCTTATTTCACGCCCCCTTCTGCTCCGCGAGGTGCAGGCACGGCGATTGGTTCATCTCTCATGCAATTTTTGAACAACTTGCCGTCTGTCAACTGGAGTGGCAGACCAGCATTCAGAAGCCATCCGAGGAATGGCCATAATTTCTATAAATAAATTTCTTCGCCAGCTGAACTTCGGTTGGCCGATTTGAAGTGATAGTAGCTGAATACTGTGTCTTACAAGTTCTTGCTATTCGAGTAGACTGTAGAGGGAAACTGTTGTTATTTGTTATGAATACTTTTTTCTTTTGTTTCGTTGATGATTTTTAGATTTGATTATTTTATTATCAAAACTCAGTGGGAATTGGTATCTAATTTAACATATCAAATAATCGTGCATGGCCCTGTCAAGAATGTGAAAAAGCTATTTTTGCAATGTAAAAGAAAATACTTTCAAGTCTCCAATCATACGTGAAGTATTTACCATAGTGTAGTATTAACTGATTAGTTTTTATATTAATTTGACTACAATTTTCCCTGAAATTTGTAGGCTCTATTTAAAAAATTCTTGGGACAGTTATTACTAGCCTAACAAAATTTCATATGATTGTGGTTTTTACGATCTCTTTGCTTGTTGCGTTTCATGTTCGATTTAATTAAATATAGTACAATGTTTTTATTTTCTTCAATTACATTTGAGCCAATTGCGTCACCCATCCAGATGGGTTAACTTAGTCAACATTATCTTCATTGAGTCATGGGAGCGGTCTGAAACGGCACCTCGTCGTAAAATTCGAGCTTACTCGTCATGCACTCAAGTTGATGTCTATTAACGCAGTTCCTCAATATCTTCTGAAATGCCTCCATCGCATTAATTTTTTACATGGAATGTTTATAAAATTGAATTATAGTTTTTGAATTACAAATAAAAAATAGAATTCATCAGCCACGCAACGATTAAGAAAAACAAGCCCATGGAACAAAATATATTTAATAACTGGGAACAAGATGATAACTGATGTCGACCGTGCATGCCAGTTTTCATTTAAAGGCAAAATTTGGAATATTGTCGCTTTTAGAAATACGAAATTACAAGCAAACTGAAATTCTGCAAGAAATTTGAATAATTTTATATACAAGATTGACCGAGAGATAAAAGATGTTCAGAAGTTTGGCAACCGAACTTACAGAGATCTTGACTTTTCGATCATTTTCAAACACATTCAAGCTCTGAGTACTATAAAAACGGAGAACTGCTTGATTTAGACCATGTACTTAGTTGAGAAGACATACCTCGAGGAAAATAACTTGAGCAAAGTCTTAGAGAGACACTACTGTATTTTAGCACATTCTTTGCGGTAAACCGTACGACTTACGTAAGTTTATTCAGTTTGTTACGAATTATTTGTTAGGTTTAGGATCTACTTCCTTGCACTTTTCAATCAATGACGCATTGTTCAGTCTTTTTTTCCCTGTACTCTTTCGCTTTAATTCGCATTGTGTTAGGAAAACTACCATAACGATCCATAAACTCACATAAGGAATCTTGGGACCAGTTTCGTATATCCCATTATGTAATTTTCGTGTGAAAAAACAGAGGTAGCAATAAACAATGTCAGAGCTCTCAACAAAAATACAGACAGATAGGAAGAAGTTTGACAGATTGCGACTGCCCGTCCACAACGTCTAACTCATTACATATAGTCAGTCTTGCATGTACCCAAAGGACTCGCCTATACGTCTTTTCATGGCTTGTCAAACCTCAAAACTGTCGTGTGAGACGACAAACTTAGCCTCCAAATTCACTGTTTTGCATGTCAAATTTGGCATGACATGCAAGACTGGCGATAAGTTAGAACGTGTGAACATTGTTTCACATAACGGTATCAAAATTACTTCTCTCACATAAATTATTCATGGTAAAAGTTAAATCTAGAGGACGGGCATCAGTATTTCCAAATTATGGAGTCCACTCAACGGTAGCGGTAGCAATTTTGAGAGTCCTGTCGTGACATCTCAGACTTCCGGGCGGAAATCGGCCGCAATACCGACCGGCACAGTGCCCGAGCGGTCGAGAGGTCCTGCGTGCAGGTTGCTTATAGTAAAAAATTCTTTGCTTATAGTAAAAAAATTCTAGCCTTCCAGCATTCTTAGCTTCAAAACGGACTGACTAAACAATCAAAGTTTTAATTGTAACAGGTTTGACTTTGCATTATCACTTCGTTTTCATCGACTCTGTTGAATTTGGATTTCGGGCGTGATGACCCTGAAAAGGATTTTCATGAGTCAGGCCTTTGAATAGGATATCTGCCACGCGTTACACATTCGTTTTTGTTAGTTGGAGAAGACGTGAACAAGGTCAGGTATTATTACAGACGCATATTTGAGGATGATGGCGTAGGCCTAATCATAATTCTGGAATCGATACCTCGATTGCGTCATTTATTTATCAATGTATTCCACTGATCCCACATGTACCAAGAAGAATGACCTCACAAATACATGAACCGTTGCTGATACATGCCTGAAAGTTATATTGGTATTGTGCCTCGTCATTTTATTCCCATTTCATCAAAATTTCCATGGATTGATTTCCTCTGCGTTTTTAGCGTAAACAATTATTCTGACAACAAAAGTGCTTCTGAATTGCCTCGTATGCGTAATTGAATTAAGTTTACGTGCTCGAAACTGTCCGAGATGTTTAAACTGCTCACCGTGTTAAATGTATAAAACACCCATTTGTGTATTTCATCTTAAGAACCCTGATGATCAATTTGCGTTTGTTGTCAAAATTAAAACATTCGATCGTATATGATTTTCTGCTATTAGTTTCGTTGGTGATGAGTTCAAACGGCGATGTTACAGGCTTTTATTGCTTAATGCACTGTAGTGTTAAGTTTCGTATTAGGCTAAATAGTGGTATCTCTCACGTCTCTATCTCTCAAGTCCCATATAATTATTTGTTTCATACTACATTTTAATTATTTTTTACAGTTATTACTTTTTATTATTGTCTGCTTCTTTAATTAAGCTCCATAGGCTCCATCCTCGTACAACAGGCGCAGGCGAGTTCGCTGAAGTGTCGATTCGGTCCTCGTACATTTTCGGATCCTAATTTTTTTTAATGAATTCGTAATAGTATCACCTAAATATTATCATTATATACAAAATTTCAACTTAAAAATGTGCCTTTTTGAGACTAAAGCATTCTAATTGTTATTTTGTGAATAAAATACGATGGATTATTCAGCCCCGACTGTTCATGATAAATTGTTTTCACATCATGATTGTTGTTTAAATGATTGTATGCTTGAATCATTTACTATTGGTCATTGAATAACAAGAATTTTATTATAAGAAATTGATTAAGATCAGTATATTAAAATAATCTCTTAGCCAGCATTTTTCTTAAACTTAACCGGGTATACGAGTTATCAAATAAGTTTTCACGAAACCCCCGTCAAGTTTGTCTGCTTGGAACCATACGCCAGGCACCGAACGTTGTTTTCTTTTACGAAGTGTCCCAAGGTATGGCGATTTATATCTTGTAAATCTATTGTATTCTATGAAGTGCTTTATCAATTTATTTATTGCTCGATGATTATGAAAAAGCTTTAAGCTGTTGAATATAATTTAGTTTGGTGTATTTTTAATTTTGAGCTACTATCTTCTGTGTCCTGTGAATCACTAAAAATCGTTAGCCTAGTTGCGATGTGTAATATTGACTCGTATTTTTTCCTTTCAATATTTTGTTTCAACCTACCGCTTGCGAGAGCGTCTAGTGTGTTTGTTGTACCTCAGCCTTAACGAGTTAAAAATTTCTTCATAATCGGTTAATTTAAATTGAAATGCTCGTTTTTTTTTAAATCTCCGTGTTCAGTGTGTTGTGGCTACATGGAATGGTTGCCACTTGCCATAATAGCTACCGTGATGAAATGATTGAAACCCTCATGGCAAATGGCAATTAATTAGCATGTGTGAAGTGAAGGGCCTACCATATCTAAGTAGGCCTAGCTAGCTAGGTACCTGGAAGTCTGGAACCGAAAGGCTGGACTAGTCTACTAGATCTATGTTTATGCTATACCTTCTCTACTATATAATAGCGAATATAATCGTGTGTCCTTGGTATTCATTTTATTATGAACACTTGAAATTTGTCGGAATATACCGCTTTTACCCTAATGCCCAAACTTTGGATTTGGGAAATTTGCGTCTAAACAGTAAGATATGCCTAGTGTAAATATTTCGTATAAAACAAATTCTTCCCATTTTTATAGGATATGATGAAAATGGCACTTGGCAGTAGATTAAAAAAGTCTCATGGTGTAGTCTCAAAACAGGTAATAAAAAATATTAATTCACTCTTGTCACCTTTGTTAATATTTCTAAACTTATGAAGCAAGTATGTGATAATGGAGCTTCTTTCTAAATCATAATGCAAATTGTAAATTCCTTAGAACTACAAAAAAGCAGAAAATAAATTGGATTACATGAAAAAATATTGCTCTTTTCAAAGTGAAACTAAGTAGGTATATGAAACTAATGAAAGTAATAACTGCCTTCTAAATGAGTGGAATTTCACTGATGCCATTTGGGGAAGCTTTAAACATGGATCCCAACATTGCACCTGAAAGTTGGTGTTGGAACCATGGTGGCCAGTGGCCATGCATGGAATAGGTACATCTACTTGGCAAGGTGCAACAGAATTTTTTGATTTGTGGTTTTATGGATTTGACTGCTGTGATTCCATTTCTTTGAGCCTTTATTCCATTTTTTTGAGCCGTTAATTCCATATCTCGGCCATGAAAAGCCATTTATGAGGCGTGAATTTATTTACAAATTCAATGCATGTGTTACCCCAAATCTCAAATTTTACACTAAAATAGTCAAACGGCAACAATAACATTTGTCTTTACTGTAAGCTTAACACGTGTTGATGCAGTTTGAAGTGACTGCAACTATGCACAATCAAGAAATGTTTAGGTTGACTCGTTTACATTACAATGATTACATTCTGCAGGAATGGCGGGAATGGTAAAGTAATGCGGATTACCAAAGTGGAAAATGACATGTTTGCAAAATGCAAACTGTGATTTTTTTTTAATCTAACCAAAATTTATGACATTCGAGCCACGAGATTTCATACCTACTGAAATCATATAATATTAGAGCTGCAATATTTCAGAAAAAATAAGACTTTTCCAGCCCTGATAGTGGCATTCTCAATGCTTTTCAAATGAGCATGTACCTATGCAATTAAGGAGCACTGTGGCAGAAATAGTGGTGTGCAACCTACAAAAGGAGCGGAGCGTCCTGGACTAGTGCATTACAGTGCCCAACCACCCAAATCACTGGCATATCCTTCACTATTAGCACTCTTGCAGCCTTGCTGGGCCCTCAAATTACATCACCACCCAGTGTGGAATTCTATATACTTGATATATTTGCAAGTTTACATAAAAAATGGATCAAAAAGCGTACCACATTGTACCTTGCACCACAGTAACAATTGATACACTGAGGCTGACTGAGCTAAACAGAAACTGCCGTGGATCCTGTATCGCGCATTGGCCTTGGTTCAGAATACAATACGGAGTTGGCAATTATATTCACTAGTGTTTTTTTTTTTTGTAGTTGACAAATTTTTGCAACAAAGTTGTTCTAATATATTTTGTTATCTATACTTTCACAAAAAATTTTCACAATTTTGTTAATACCAACAAAGTTTTCCATATCACAAAATCTATGATTTTCAAGCTACAGCATTGAGAGATATACCATTTGAGTTGTAAAGAAAAGATCAAGTGAATGGTCATAGATTTTTTGTGTAATTTTGTTATATGTAGTTTGGATTATATTTTGCCCACCACTAAAATGAGATCTAAACAAAAAATCCCCCACCAACAAAAATAAGAATTTTGAAAAAAAAATCTATGACGAATTGCTAGATATGGTCTTTACACATTGAATGATATGTATCTCAACGTTGTAGCTTGAAAATCCTAGGAGATAGATTTCAACAGTACCCACTTTATTGTCATTTTCATTTTTTTTAATTTACATGAACAAAAAAATCTTAAATTTCTGTTTTACACATGTGTACCAAGTTTCAAAGTGATATGTCTATAAATAAAAATTTTTTGACCAAGATGCTCCTCTTAATTGTTTTTTTACCACGTTTTTCTTGACTTCATTTCGTGTGTGTCTGTCACCAAAAATTCAAACCTTAATTTAGAGCACTTCTAAACATCCTAGTAAGTTGAAATTTGGCATGCATGCTTATGCTGCCTAACAATTCAAGATTTGATCCTCAGAAATAACAATTTAGAAATTTTTTTTTTGAAAAACAGAAAATTGTAAAATATAAAAAAAAACACTTAAACTTCATGGTTTGGAATTGCGTTTTTTCTCAAACGTCCACACTTGCCAACCCTGGAAATTGATTTGAATTTCTAAAATTGCTAACTAAAAAGTAGAAAATAAATATATATAAAAAATATTTTAAAAATGTTTTCTGTTTTTTACAAAACTAAAAATAGTGAAATAAAACAAATAAAAAAACTTTCAAAAACCATGTTTTCTTAACCGGACAAAATAGAAAAACATTTACTCCTACATAACATTTTACATGACTTAAATGTTATGTAGGAGTAAATGTTTTTCTTTTTTGTCTGTTGAGAAAACCTGGTTTTTGAATTTTTTTTTTATTTTTTTTTATTTTAAGATTAAAAGGAGGAAATTCATCTAGCAAGTATCTCATAGCTCCAAAAATGGCAAGCAAGTTCTAGTTACAGCTTATAGAGTAGGCATGAAGATTTCTAGCCTAAGCTAAGGTGCAAATCCTCATAGAAATTGTCAACATTTTAAGACTGAACCTGATCATGGCAATTTTATGATAAAACATAAAGGCCAACTTACACGAAACACGCTGGAATTTTACGAGATGCATGTTACTTTAGTTCCACTAGAGGCATTATGCACTCCACCTGCATTGTTTTTGGTTACTTAGCTGCCTTGATGACACCTTCCAGTTGAATAACATGTCTAATGTTCAGCTAGCTCGAGTTGAAATAAGGGAACTGACTTCATATTTGAAGCTCTCATCACTCTTGCAGCCTTGCTGGGCCCTCAAATTACATCACCACCCAGTGTGGAATTCTATATACTTGATATATTTGCAAGTTTACATAAAAAATGGACCAAGAAGTGTACCACATTGTACCTTGCACCACAGTAACAATTGATACACTGAGGCTGACTGAGCTAAAACAGAAACTGCCATGGATCCTGTATCGCGCATTGGCCTTGGTTCAGAATACAATACGGAGTTGGCGATTATATTCACTAGTGGTTTTTTTTTGTAGTTGAAAAATTTTTGCAACTAAGTTGTTCTAATATATTTTGTTATGTATACTTTCACAAAAAATTCTCATGATTTTGCTAATACCATATCACATATCATCTATCACCATATCAAAGTTTTCCATATCACAAAATCTATGATTTTCAAGCTACAGCATTGAGAGATATACCATTTGAGTTGTAAAGAAAAGATCTAGTGAATGGTCATAATTTTTTTTGTAATTTTGTTATAGTTTGGATTATATTTTGCCCACCCACAAAAATGAGATCAAAACAAAAAATCCCCCACCAACAAAAATAAGAATTTTGAAAAAAAATCTACAACGAATTGCTAGATATGGTCTTTAAGCATCGAATGATGTGTATCTCAATGTTGTAGCTTGAAAATCCTAGGAGATAGATTTCAACAGTACCCACTTTTTTGTCATTTTCATTTTTTTAATTTACATGAACAGAAAAATCTTAGATTTCTGTTTTACACATGTGTACCAAATTTCAAAATGATCTGTCTATAAATAAAAGTTTTTTTTTTTTTTGACCAAGATGCTCCCCTTAATTGTGTGTTTTTTTACAATTAAAAGGAGGAAATTTGTCTAGCAAGTATCTCGTAGCTCCAAAAATGACAAGCCAGTTCTAGTTACAGCTTATAAAGTAGGCATGAATATTTCTAGCCTGAGCTAAGGTGCAAGTCCTCAATAGAATTGTCATCATTTTAAGACTGGGTCTGATCATGGCAATTTTATGACAAAACATAAAGGCCAACTGACACAAAACATGCTGGAATTTTACGAGATGTATGTTACTTTAGTTCCACCAGAGGCATTATGCACTCCACCTTCATAGCAGCTAATGACTGGGGCAGGGGTTAGTTGTTTTTGGTTACTCGGCTGCCTTGATGACACCTTCCAGTTGAATAACATGTGTCTCACCAAAGATTGCCATGATTGTGTCTCACCAAAGATTGTCATGATTGTCTCTTACCAAAGATTGTCATGATTGCCTCTCACCAAAGATTGCCATGATTGTCTCTCACCAAAGATTGCCATGTTATTGTCTCACCAAAGATACAAAAATAAAACAGCGAAGAGAAAACGTGTCAAGACAACATGATGATTATGCAAAATGATCTTACTAAAACTTTGCGCAAGCACAATTTTAGCACATGTCACTGAAAGTTCTATCCAACGCTTATGGCTACATCGATCTGTCTGATTTTTGGTGGAGAGATGGAGAATAACATAGGGAACAAATCCTGACCATAAAATTTTCTAACTCTATTACTTTCCAAGTTACAGCCATTCAAAGTTGGGTATCGTTTTTTTTTTTTTGGGACACCCTGTATATCAAAAGCTGAGGGTTTTTCATTCAAACTTTGAAGTGACACAATGTATTATGAGGCTACTACCTTATATGATACAACAATTTAGCCTTACAGTTGTTGCCTGCAAAAACTGCTGAGATTTGTCTTTTGTAACCCTTTTGGTTGTTTTTCTTATAGTCTACTTCCATAGGCATGGATTGCATATGCATATAATTCATGCAACCACTGTAGTGTTAAAATCTCCTTTGAATTTATTTCATGCAGCTTCATTTCTGGCATAGTTCATTTTGTTAACCAAGTTTTAAAAATGGGTAAGTAGATATTACTAAGGGAAGATTTTCTCTTATTAATATTATTTTCATCTCACAGGCAAGATGGTGACCAAAATTAGACGCAGAGCACTCAAGAAAATGAGGAAGGGGCTCCGCCTATCCAAAAAGGAGCTCCCTAAGAAACTGGTAAGATTTTCATAATATTCATAACAGTTGCCATTGCAGTTCGCTAGCAATGCTTGGATTATAGGGTGGTTGCCCTCATTTTCCTAAGGGTCATCCTTATTTAGGGATAAAATGGCACTGTTGCAAATTTTAATATATAATTCTTCATGGCTTTTGCTCAGTGTATTATGGTTGCAAATAAGACTTCTTTGCTCAAATGACATGTGTTTGAATATGATGAGTTAATTTTCATTAAATTGCAGATTAAAGGTTTGCCCAAAGAAGAAATTGAGAAGAAAGGTGCTGCTGCAACTTACGCCAAGCTTAATGGTGCCCCTCCTGCAATCAAACGAGACTTGAACCGTGCTAAGAAGAGGATTCAGGTCTTTAAGAGGAAGGGTGGCACTGTCCAGTTCGTGAAGCAGATTCGCGCCATCCGCAATCGCCTCAATGACAGGTCCCGCAAGATCAGGATGAGGGCTAAGACTCATCGTATTATGGTACGTCATTACCTGGCACATCATGTCACTTAAACCATGCTGGGTCGAAAAGGTTAAACTCAGGTATAACTCTTTTAATATTTACTGACAACTCACTGGGAAAGTGTGTTCAAGTCCATTTTGCAATAATTATTGACATTTAATGTTTTAATCTGTCATTTCTGAAAAAAGTTTCTAGATTTCTTTGTTTGCTTCATGGTAGTTCATTAATATTTGTAGGCTTTCACGTTTCTAACGAGTTGCTGTCCATATATGTTCTTGTTCATATGTTAGTTCCGATGTTTTGTTAGTGTTAGTTACTATGCATTTATTGTGCATTTTTCACTGGAGCTTGCATTAGAGCGGTTTATTGCCTTGCGCTAACCATGCGGTTTGTTTGACAGGCGGTTCGAGCTAAGACCTTGGCCCTAGCTCAGAAGAACGCAAAGGAGGGTGAGACCGTCACTATGAAGGAAGCCATGAAGGTTAAGCGACCTCACAGGTACCGCGTTGTGAAGATGAGACACGTGTACGAGACCCAGCTCAATATGAGAAGAATGGCAAGCAAGAATTATTTCAAGTGAGTACGCGTGCCTTTCTTCACAGCAGTGACCTTGTAACATATATACACCTATAATTTTTGTCATACACACACGATAGACTGAGTAAATAATGATTGATGAAATCTAATTGCTGTTCTTAAATTGTTAAGTTTGATTTTTAAGTAATTGGGGCGAGTTTCCTGTAGAGTTATATACGTTTAAGTTCTACCTAAAATGACAGTTTCATTTTTTTTATGCGATGCAATGGTTGACAGCATTAGCGTCACTAGGCCTGTATAAGGGGAGGGGGTCTCAGCCTCAGTAAAATTTTCTTAAGCCCCCAAAATAATTTCATGTTCACTTGAAGAACTATTATATAATGTAGCCAGCATGTATGCTTAAATATAGAATCATACAACCTGTCATTATCTATTAATATAAATGTGATCATGTCTCCAAACCTGGTAACGTCCTCAACTGACAGCGTATATTGAATTGAAAATAAAATTTGGTACATATGTGATCAGACCAAAGGTGATGCGCACTCGTGGCAACCTGAAGCTGCGCAACAGCCTCAAGCCGGGCACCGTGTGCATCCTTCTCGCCGGCCGCTACAAGTGCAAGCGCGTCGTGTTCCTCAAACAGCTCAAGAAGACTGGACTTTGCCTCGTTACAGGTACGTCTTTTAAGTAGATATTTGTTTTGAAATTGTTGGGATTTACAAAGTAAATTAAATTTCAGAACAAAAATAGTTGGAAGCTTCCCCGCGAGAAATTACTTTTGTTTTTATAAGCCCACTGTCACACATTTCCATTTCATTTTTTTTCTCGTCTAATTAAACTTAATTGGCATTTGAAAGAAGTGGTTACTGTGCTGCTACTCCTAGCACTTATGCTGCTACCCATATAGTGTTATAATAGTGAAGTGTGCGAGAATTGCTTGAATTACAGCTCACTCTTGATGCTCATCTCCACTCCCCGCTGTATGTTGGCAGTGAAAGGCTACAAGTTGCAGTAAAGTGTACGAGACTTCCGTAACATTACAGTTCACCTCATGTTAACTCACTTTCATCAAACAGGTCCGTACGCTGTGAACGGAGTGCCTATGCGTCGCATATGCCACAAGTACCTTATTGCCACCAGCGTCCGTTTAGACATGAAAGACGTTAAGATGCCCAAGCATATTACTGACTCATACTTCACGGCACAGAAAGGAGCAAGGAAAGCCAAGAAGACTGTTGAAGAAGATTGTGATTTTTTACGTATTGTCTAGTAGACGACATGTAATTTATGCTTTGCTCCTATTGTTGCAGTCAAAGAAGGGCCCCACCCCTCAGCGCGTAGCTGACCAGAAGTCCATCGACCGTCAGCTGCTGGCCGCCATCAAGGCGCGTAAGGACAAGAAGGTACTCACCAAGTACCTCAAGTCTGAATTCGGCCTCAGAGGAAAGCGTTTCATCCACAACATGAAATTCTAAGTAAATCTCTTGGCGGATATGTGAAGTTATTATCCTTGATTATTTGAAGTACCTATTTATAAATGCTAACTAGGTTCTTTTTCTCTGTCAAATGAATAGCCTAATCTTTTAAATTATTTGGAGTCGTTGTGGGGGAATTGTTTAGTATTTCTAGTACATATCCCAAAATATAACAATAACTTCGACGACTTACGTGTGTACCTGAAGCGTAACTTCGTTTCCCATCCAACCTGCCTACAGCATAAGCTGCATTATCCCTATTCACTTAATTCTCACGCATGTGTCGAAAGCCATACCAGACGCTTTTTATTATTGTAAAGAAAACACAATTGCGAAATGAATGAGTTTCCTCCTATCTGGTTGCTCGTATTACTTGCGGTCTCTTACTAATAAGTGCTCGGTAAAAGATTCCGAACTTTTATTTATTGACAACATATGTATGTTATTTTCGACGATTGAAACCTGTTTCAAGCATGGACATTTGAGACAAAAGATTGATACTAGTGTCTGCATAGCTACCCTATCCATGTTCGAAGCCAATTTTCTGCACCAAACGATAATTTGAAATATACCTATTATCAGCTAATGCCATGTGGACAGCTAAAGTTGAAATGGACGCATATTATTGTTCAAATACTAGATTTCATTCTTTCAAAGAGCAAACCTTGAGAAATAGTAGCAAATTATGAACCTTTCATGTGTCGACGTATGCGTGGCGACCACTCATGCACTTTTTCATACAAGATTACTTTAATACGGAACCAGGAGTCCCGTTATGAATTAATCTGGCAACATCGTTGACGACATGAGCGCCCATCGTCGAATGGCAGTACACATCACCCTGTAGATACGGTACACTTTCAGCAGAGGCACACCTCAGCCAGCTTGCAGATTCCTACTCCCTTTCGCTCCCTACACGCCTTTGACCATTATTCATCGCAGACGGTATTGACCTTATGATGAGTTTAGGACGTCGTAGTCCACGGGCACGCTGATGCGCCGCATTCGTCGTCCTCCGTCTCAGAGTCGTCGGATGCAACGTTGGACGTGTTCCGTCTATCTGCCCTTCTTTGGGCCACCTGTGACCTGATGCAAGATGCTGTTGCTTGTCACTTGCTGAGGGTGGTTTCCCATTACTGGACAGTCGTGGATCTTTCTCAACCACTTGTCCAGTCGTCTCTTAAATGTTGCAAGGGTGAACCCCTCCTCTCAGCGCTTTTGGCAAGACATTAAAGAGCCTCGGTCCTACCACGGACAGTGATCCCTCAGGAAGAGTCTGTACTCTGGCCGCGGCTCGGTTATTAAATGGGGGGAATCCTGCACAGTCTCCCCCTTCTTTCGGTGTAATATTATTTTGGAGGTCTCACTCTCAAAGTTGGGAGCCAGTTCGTTTATCATCTTCCAAGTGTACAGTATGATATACCTTTCTCTTCTTCTCTCCAGTGAGTATAGTTCCAGGTGTTTCCGCCTTCCCCAGTGGTTCAGGTTCAGCTCCCTCATGCCGCTGATCCTGTAAGTGAAGGTCCGCTGCACTGCCTCCAGTTTTCGCACCGCACCCGCCTTGAGTGGCGACCAAAGTTGGCAGCAATACTCAAGATTGGGGAGCACTCCCTCTGAAGAGCGTAATCATTGGTGCTGCTTCTCTCGTTCGAAATGTCCGCCATATCCACCCCAACCGTTGCCGGCTGCGCGCGACCATTTCCTCGATATGGGCATCGAACGTGGCTTCAGTACTCATCAACACTCAGATCTCGAACTAGTTGATCCTCAATTTCTGTGCCATCTGATGCCAAGTAGCGATGTGGCATCCCGATCTCTGTGCAGACTCAGTATCTCATTACCTCAAACTTGGTGCCGTTGAGCTGCATATTGTTCACTAGGGCCCCAATCGTAGATTGACGATAGATAATCCTGTAATCTCTCGCAGTCTAGGTCATCCGTGATCATCAGCACCAGTATTACACCATTCAAGTTCTGTACGTTCGCTATGAGAAGTCGAGTTTCGCTCCGTTATCGCTGATCCCTATGGTATATAAATATAGATCATACAGAAGTCCTGGGCCTTTTCCACTATTTCATCTCGTGTTAACAAGAAATTAAATACTAATAACTTTTTACCGCAGTTCCTAATATTCAATTTCGCACTTCCAACTAAATTTCACAATGCCATCGACTACTTCAATTGCATCGACGTTAATTAGAAAAATGTATATTCACCTTAGTGCTGACCCTTCCTGGTCACAACCATCCCGTACCTCGTTCAAACGGTTTTCCCCTCTAGCGAATCGATAACCGCTTAGTCGTACAGAGGTATAGTTGATTGCCATCAAAATATCACAATTAATTAAAAACCATTTTGAATGACAGATCGAATGGCCTTATAAGGAAATAGTAACATGGCACGATCTTCACTGAACAGTGTAAAGAAGTTTGTCGCGATCAACTCTTGTAAAGTTTACTCAAGGCCATATCGTGGATTTACGCATATTTCCGTTAATGCTATCAAAAGCTAGGATGAATAATCCGCTTCAGATAAACTTTTATTTATTCAAAACTACGTGTCGCCCAGCACTGCACGAATCTGCAACAAAAAAAAATTATAATATTTAATTATAAAAAGAATTAAATTTAATAAATTTTATAATAATAAATTTTATTAAATTCACTCATTTTATTATACCGGGTCCGTACTGTTATTTAAAAAAATAGAATTCCATGACAGGTTTAGCATGACTGAAAGCCTAACTTTGCATATTCAATCATCTTCTACAGTTGATAATTAGCAAACGGGTAATTGCCTAGAGCAGGTAGACACGGGGAACAAAAATGACCAATCTGAAAATCAAGCTCACACTGGTATTATTATGAATTCTATAGTATTAAAGCATCACAAATATCCAGTAATGCATACAGGATTGTACATGATGTCAATACAGTTCAGAGCACTCTTCAGCACTACTACCCTAGCATTCAACTGGCAGTTATTCAGTTCACCAGTGTCTAGCTCCTGTTGCATTGTTTTCAAAGATCGCTTCATGGCGTTGAAAGTTGCGATAATTTTCACTCCCCCTTTCTCTCCATTGATTCTGCATATTCCTTGATGCCCTCCTCCGTGCGCCTTTTAGCTAGAAAACTCACCAACTCTTATGGTCAAAATTGACGTAAGACCGCGGCTGCCGCGCTTTCTTGGGCCGCACACGTTTCAATTTCGCCATCTGCGAATAACAGCTTTATTACACAGGGCTATGGAAGAGAGTCGTTAACTATCATAACGTGAAAACAATTATCAGCAGAACCCACTGAAATTTGTGGTCAACATCGTTATCAGGATTTCAAACCTCATCATAGAAAAATACACTTATTCTTTTATGTTAAATGAATCTCTATCAGTCTCACCATCAACAATTCAGGCGTCGCGTGACGACCGGAACTCTGAGGCCTGGCGAAAAAAAAAACCGCCATGAATATTTAATCGTCGAGGGCCTTGCACATTACTTTCTAATTCTGCATCAGCAAGACCAATCGAGCACAGAATCAACACTGAAGTTCAGATAGGGGCGAAATAATTGTCATCACTAAAAGGTCATTTCAATTACTCACTCTATAAACTAACATTAGATTTTCACAACTTACTAGGGCAGTAGCAGCAAGAAAAGTGCACCTTACTTCCATTCCGTGCACTATCTGTAGAAAGATAATGAGAACGAGTGAATCAAAAACAGAACCACAAATTCATTAGGCGACGTCAGATCAACATCGCTCAATTTACGCGACCTATTAATGCAGAGCAGTTCCATTAGGAACCAGAGAAAATTGGATTAATAATAGAAGAGTATGATCAAATTAAATATACAAGTGGATGCGTAGCTTTGATACACATCTTGTACATGTTCTGGCAAAGTTAGGTTCTGCAGCGCCGACTACTCGCTGTTCAGTTAACATTCAAAAATGATAAGAACCAGGTGTCAGTCATGACAGCTAGATAACATAGCAGAGAAAGGCGAGTAATCCGTTCTAAAGATATATTATCTATCAGACGCAGAATTTTACAGATAAAGTGAGTACTTTTAATGCTGTATATGGTATCAAGTTAAGTTTCGCCAAGTCATTTAGATCGTGGAATATTTAGCCCGGTTACAAATGGAACCGGGCTACAATTTTTCACATATAATGAAATATAAATATATGAACATATTTTTTACTTCTTACCATCACAAGTGATAAAATTCTCACAGAACAAAAAAAAAAGTTCAGAGAAAATAATTCTCGGCATCAATAAAAATGAATAACTAAGCTTCCCCACCTCTCAACAGCTCGTCTAGTGATCAATTAAGGCTATGGTTTGCGGTTGCTCAAGTGTCGCAATTCACTGCTAAAGACAACATAGTCGTCATTTATAAAGGCAGCGATGGCACTTATTCTCCGATGCACTTTAGCATGAACAGCCTAATTGCTGCTCACGACTCTAGGCATAAGATATCCGTAAATTGCAGAAAATGTACACCTATACGTCAATCAGGAATCTAGTTGTACTAGATTAACTAAAAACATCGATTTTTTATTACTTACCCCCAAAAACGTCAGACAGGCATTCACTAGTCGGGTTCACTCCAAAAGTCTGTTGGAAATTAAAACAAATTTAAAACAAAATATTTGATACCTAAAAACTAGGCACAACTCTTGTTTTCAGCAAGACCAATCGAGCACAGGCTCCACATTGTTCTTCAGATAGGGGCGAAATAATAGTCATCATGAAAAATGTTAACTTTGGCAGAGAAAAATGTTTAAAAGAATTCGAATGTTCATACCATTGAGTTCTCATCACCGAATAAAAGGCTTGCAAATTATGAAAATATTTTAATTACGAACATAAGTCATCAGCTATGCTATTAAAGCTCACCTTGCTGAATATTTGCAGGTATGTTGTGCTGACGTATCCAATGTATGTCATGCAAGGTCTCCCAGAGACCATGACAAGGAGCTTGAGGAAGCCTACAAAAAGACAACAGAATAGTAACAAGGAAAGAAATTTGATATTAGCACTTGTCTCTGTGATCTCAGCAAGACCAATCGAGCACCGGCTCTACACAGGTGTTCAGATAGGGGCGAAATAATAGTCATCATTATGGGAGATATATTAACAGAAAATTTTATGTCATATGTATTATGTTTTTCCACCTTAGGCATTAGGCAGAAGAAGTTTTTAGTGTGGATAAACTATAAGAAAACCCAAGATGGAATCAATGGATTTCATATACCAGATACAAATGGAATTTTGTATTGAAAAATCTGCAACTCCCTTTACTTAATACTAACTTGCCTAACATTCTGTCCACTAATAAAGCAATTATTTCAGTGACTAACAGTTATACACACAATTATTAGAATCCCATGTTGAAATCATAGGCAGGAAGATGCCCTGTGTTCTGACATCTATCTTATAGCTACAACATTATGAAAATATGGCCTTATCAGAGCAGAAAATTCCATTGAACCAAGCAAGCATCGTTCACACCAACTAAGTCCTGAAAATGGCCCAGCCACCCAAGTGAGAGCTAGCCAACTAGCTAATCAAAATTGAAACTTGAGGAACAGTTGTCCAAATGCCCAAGTGAATAATTAGAAGTTAAGCAACTCAGCAAGCCTAAAAAATTTTATCAAGTTTCGATGAATAGATACAATTTCAAATGTCTTGATTCTATACATCATATCAACTTATTAACCAGTTTATATATAATTCCACCCTGCCCTATTACATAATCCATAAGAAATTTTTTAGCACAAGTTATTTGTAGATAATTGTAGTATAAGTTAGGACTGTATTGTCAGCTTAGTCCATTAAGCCTATTCTGTGCAGTGTGCAGTGTGCACACATCCATTGCAAAAGCAAAACTATTGACAAATTGCCTATCATTACATAGAATCCTACATGACTACACGAGTCTGCATCTACTCTTAAAATTTCTTACCATAATCTTTGTCCTGACTGAAGCTCCCTTCAGTTCCAATCCATGAACAACATCACTGCATCAGCCCTACGAGTATGATAAATTCACAATGTTAGCAATAGGAAGGGTTAACTCCACATGATTTCTCAACTCAATTGATCAGAGTATGGGTTGTCTTCACAGCATCAGACGAAAGATAGTGTACAACATCATGAGGAATGAGGATACCTACCTACCTACTCCTAAGAATTTAATTGTACCTTGCTACCTAAACTTTAAATCTTAACACACTTAAATGTAAACAATGAACAAATATACTAAATTAATGCAGCACAAGAGCCTCACGCTCACCTTGGAAAAAATATATTGCTTTGCTGTTAAATGCGTTATAGCTACAATCAATACCTAATTAAAACGCATAGCCTAGTAATTGATAAAAATAGCTACATTACAATATACTAATTACAAAGCAAAGTAGGTACTTACACCGTCACTCACTGCGGTGACACGAGCTAATTTTAATTATCTAAAGCTTGAGCAAGGCAGTGAGAATTTCACTGTCTCACGGTGACTAAGAGAGACGGAGACAGCCATTGCTTGTACTGTAGGCTACCACTGTTCCTGTAAATTGAATTACAATTCAGTATACTGACTATACATAAAGATGACAGAAAAATCCTTACTGATAGCCAAAAACAAAACATAGAAATCAGATTAAAACTTGCATCACCATGATCAGGCGAAAGATAGTGTTTGTTGTTCATCATATTCATAACAATCAATCTGCTAAGCGAGTGCTAACACGCAGACGAAATCTGCCAAGTCTACGCCGGTATAATTCACGTGCTGAGCCGGCAAGAGAAAAGATTCCAGTGGGAGTCAATTCAAAAATACAGTTATACTATTAACACGTTTTGCTATTAAGCTCTTGAAATATTCGACACGATTCACAAGATATGCTGTACTGATGATGATTAGGCTAATTCACAGAAAAAAACAAGCTTACCTTGGAAGAATGGCAATTTTCAAGCAGTAGGCCAACGTGCCACAGCCGAATAGAATGAGCGGACGATTAAATTTTGCGTTAGCCAGTTTTGCCAGAAGGTGATTCTAAGTTGTTCTGTCAAACTTGAACTAATATTTATTTATATGATGAAGTAATTTTTATAAGTGCATGAGTAAAAACGTATAATAAAATAAAAAAGTTTTTTAATGTGTGATAACTTGGAATTTTGAAATCAGAATACTTCCATAAAAAATGCAACATATACTGTTTCATCTTTCAAAGCGCGATTGCAATAAAATTCCAAATTAATTACCAGAGCAAGGGGTTTTCTGAATTTTAACACAGTGATCATTTACTGAAAAATTTCTTACAACTATATCAATGCGATATATAAGCGAGCGGGGCTTTGAGTTTGACTGAATATACCCCGGACGTGTCGGACAATTTTACGGCCGGACTCGCGGCCCCAATATGGTTCTTGGCTTGGTGATGGCAGTCTCGGTGAGCTGCAGATATCTAGAAAAACATCAATATTAAACAAAAATTCTAATGTTCATCTTATTTTCGAGAAGATTTGTGTTCAATAGTTTTTTTTTACATGTGCACTCTGAAACCGGACATGTCTGATTTGGTTCTGAACTCGTTTCGCCACGATTACAATTTGGTTAGGCTAAAAATTTTATTCATCAATTCAAGTTTGAGTTTATCTTTTTCTCATTTTCTGATTGCAAAATGAATTTTAAGTTTTAACAGATGACTTGTTTCTATGGATAGGATTTAGACTACTAAAATTCTCAAAATTTAGCAGAAAATTATGTAGCAGATTGTCTCAAAAAGTCAGTTTTTTACAATTTATGTAAAAATTATGTTTAGTTATTCCTACACCAAGCTCCATGGATCAATTGTATGACTGAACTAAATGACAGGAAAAAGACATTATAATGGCGATGGCTACTCAACCGGTTTGGCAACAGCCGTTCGGCAATAAATATAACATGACTAATTTATAATAATCTATATTTGAGTACGTCTTCGAAGGAAATTACTTAAGCAATCATAGACCCTTGGCGGAACTGACTTGAGGGACGTGTCTGAAGTGGATGTTAGCTTGGCAGATTCTGTGGTCCGGATTGCGACGCACATTTAGTGAACGAATTCATGGGGAATAGTAGATGTTAGGATGCTAAAACAAAAACTTCTTTATAATAATTTTATATCATTAATTTTGTTCTCCCCGCCTCTTTCTTTTCTCATGCTGTCACTTCTTCCATATTAAGGCCAAATATAGCGCAACGCAATCAATGCATCAAAGAGGGCCTTTTTTTGTTGTGAGTTTAGTATAGTAGTAGTATAGTATCTTCGGCATTAAAGAATAGGCCTGGATAGGCCTGTCGCTGAGTTTGAGAGAAGAGAGAGGAAGAGGGATGCTCGCAAGGCTCAGAGTGCAGCGCTACAGGAGCGCAGCCAATGACCACCAATTTTGAACACTTAACAAGAATCAGCGAATTATATGATTATAGGCTTGAAGGTATTATGAAAATTCACTAATTAGTGTAGTATAGCAATTGCAGCATTTATTTAGCCATTAGACCTGTAGCTGATTCTTAAAATCGCATAGCATTCACATGTTGTTGCTGGTCTTAAACACGCAACTCACTGCTCCAATTTTGCTTTGCTTGGTGGAGGAAGATAAAGTGGTGGTTGATGACTCGTCATCATGCTGGACAAATGTCGTGAGAGGCATACACAGAGGGAGCGAACTGGGTCCTCTCTTCGTGGGTTACTACGTGAACGATATGACAGGTCCAGTGAAGTTACTGTTCACTGACGATCATGCAACACTGTGCAATGATAACCGAAAATGTTATTCGAATCTTCAGCCGTGTGAGAAAGTATATCACCTACTTGAACACAAGCTTAGTGACTAGTGAGACAAATTTTTAACTGCATGTTCGTCTTAATTATGGAACTCTGAGAGGGCCCATTTATACAAGAAAGATTTGCTTTGGTATTTGGTAATATCGTTCTAGAGTTAATAAAACAAGGGCTACGAGGCGAATTCATTGATGTTTTCAAGTTAACTCATTGACTCTACAAAGTCAATGAGTGAACTTCTTCTGTCTAAGAGGACTTCGGTTTGACGATATTCTGAAGTTGAATAATGTGTTTTTTACTCTGACTGTGGGCGACTGTTACTGTTCCGATATATCGGCCATCTTGGTTTGTTCAGCCTTTGATTTATTCGGCCATCTTGGCTTGATTGGCTATCTTCGTTTGAATCTGAACGTGGCCCGGATGTCTTTCTGCATGGACGCCTTATCAGACTGGATGCACTCTAACCGGCTCCAGCTCAATGCATCAAAAATTAACTTTATTTCGTTAGCGACTGCTCGGCGCCAGCATCAGATTTCGGTCAACCCTGTTCGCGTGGGCGAGTTCGTCATGCCTGCGTCTTTGGTTTGCAACCTCGGCATTCTGCTTGACTCAGAGCATTCTATGAACAATCAAATTGCCAGTCACCATCGCTTGTTTTGGCGCTCTGTGACGAATACTTAGCGTCAGCCACTGTCTTTCGAAGCCAGTCTTCGAGGCAGCCCTCGTTTTGGCCGGATTTGGCAATGCGACGCGCTGTGGACTTCCGACCACGGCACTCAATAAACTGCAATCCGCAATGAACGCTGCTGCGCGACTCGTGTGCAATAAGCAAAAATTAGGCCACATGCCGCCGATATTGCGAGATCTTCACTGGCTGGGCATGCAGCAGAGCACGCAGTTCGAGGTCGCTGTTCTTACGTTACGATGCCTTCACGGTCTGACGCCTCCTTATCTCACGGAATCTCTACAGCGCGTCAGATCTGCCTTCTAGAAGACGACCGGGCTCGTCATCAATAGCGGACCTCGTCGTTCCATCTACACGTCTATCTACCGCTAGTAACAGAGCGTTCCTGGTCGCTGCCGCTAGAATCTGGAACATCTGCCGGCTTCTGTAACATCGGCTTCTTCGTTGCAGGTGTTTTCGTCGATGCTCTTAAAAACGAACTATTACGTAGAACCTATGAATCAAGAGCTTAGTAATTTTGATCAGTTCTCATAATATCTCGTCTATTTACTTTTCACTTGCTATTATTAAACTTATGTGTAACGTGTCCTCGAAGTTCGTTTGAACAAGTCGCCATGATAACTGCTTCGTAGAATAATAACAATAATGATAATTTTCGGGGCCTTCACTGCACACGTGAGCATGCTCGCTTAAAACTAGTGGATGCCAAATATTTAAACAACTGAACAAGGTATATGAGCGAGAAATGACTGATATACCGGTCCGATGAGAATAGATATTAAAATAAATAGACATTTCAAAAGTGTTTAAGTCGCGCATCTAATGAACATCAATGCTGAATAAAATTTTTCTTTGTTTTAATTCAGTGTCAACATTTTTTACTACTCTGCATTGATTATAAATAAATTGCTGGATAAATATTTACAATTCCAGAGCACTATTTTGTTTACGACTAGAATTAAGGGCTAATTAGTGAAGGAATCCACATAGAAACCAGCCACTTCGTCTGTCTCGAGGCCCGAAACACGGGCCTTACCATTCCCAAAGTACTAGTAGAAAAAATTCGTTAAAAAAATTATTATGTATCTCATTGAATAGATAATATTGATGTGAACCAATATGTTCACAAAATGTTTAGTATAAAATCAGTCTTAGATATGTTAAGAATCGTCTGAATGATAGTAAAGGGATTAAGTTGAATTTGTTACAACTTTAGTTTCACTTGTCATACTCATAAAGGTGTGGGATTGTAGCAGAAATTGTTTGGTTGCGGTTATATCGAGATCATTTAATCAGTGAAACAATTCTAATTCTAACAGATTTCCATTAGCCATCTAAAATGTAAGAGGTTATTTGCGCCAGCCAAACATTGGCATAGTTGGATGAAGAAATGAAGAGCAGTGCAGTAGAATGAATGAAGATGAATGCTTAAATGAAGAGCAGTGCAGTAGAGGTGTAGCTCTGTGGGTTAGAACCTCATTTGGGGCCCAGCAAGTTAAGTTATCTGCAGAGCATCAATCAGCTAGAGAATCAGTGTGGTGTGAACTTACTCTAAAAGGCAAAGATAGCCTTCTCATAGGGGTCATTTACAGATCACCTAACAGCACCTCTGATAACAATAAAGTACTAAACAGCCTTTTACCGAGCATGTCATTCAGCAGGTCGCATACGTTGATCGTTGGTGACTTTAACCATCCAGAAATAGACTGGGCAGATGA